TGTTAGGGAAATGGAAACATGCTAATTTAATTTGATACTTCAGCACACATATGTTCCCATCCCTCACTCTATGACTAGCTGTAATCACGTCAGCACAACTTAGCATATTTTTTATAGCACCCATTTCATTCCGTATACACAACAAAAACATCAATTTTCACAGTAAATCAGCCGTTTGAACAGGAGTCTGCCGATCCTAAGCTAAATTATGCACACTTTTTGCAGCCTCGATAATTTTTCCTAGTTATGAAACCTTTCGCTTTGCATCTTGAGATATTCGCTCACGTAATTGAGGACTAATCACCAACGTATCGCTAAAGAGCGGGTAGGCGGCGGGCGCAAAAAAAAAAAAAATGAGACAAATGATGGCGGAGAAGGCAGGTCCTTGCCGTGACGTCACATCGCCGCGACCGCAGCGACGCCAGTGTTCCTTCCCCGTGTCACCTTAAAGGGCCACTCACCACCCCGCGTTCAAAGACGAGGAGGCAGTTTTCTCCTCTCCATCGCACACGCGATGCATCCTCCTCGCCCCTTAGTTCTTAAAAGAACGCGAACAAAGTCAGCGCTGGAGCCTTTCAGGATTTAGCGCTTCTCGGCTAAACGCTGTTGTCACCGCTTGCGCAGTTGTAAACACACAAAATGAGGTGTGATGAGTTGATCGTGCATGCTATTCACGCAAGACAAGGAAGAACGGACGGACGGCTGCATGCTAAAGTAGTGCTGGAGGCAAATCACGTTTGATTGATTGATTGATTTGTGGGGTTTACCGTCCCAAAGCCACCATATGATTACGAGAGACGCCGTAGTCGAGGGCTCCGGAAATTTCGACCGCCTGGGGTTCTTTAACGTGCACCCAAATCTGAGCACACGGGCCTAAATCACATTTGCTATTTCGCGTATATGGACCAATCGAGAGAGCATGCACATTATATATAGACGTCACGGGAAGTCGGGAACTACTGTCTGCGCCACAAAAGTGGGCGAGAAGGACAAGAAAAAAATATCAGGAGAGAATATGGCACTTGTTTTTTATGTATTTTAGCAGCCCGGTAAGAGGCCCTTCAAGCTGCCATCATCATGCCGTCACGAGAGTTGTCAGGCAGCTTTCTCATGTTTATTGTAAATTTTCCCTTTGCGCGTTATCGAAGTGCGACCACCTTTGTTTGGAAATAAACCCGCTCCTCCATACTACAGTGTGACGTCCTGTACATTCAACGACGGCTGGTAGGCCACTATTCAAGTCTTAGCCAGAAATTCGTTACGCAGACAGGGGAATGGTGGATGCTTCTGACCCTTCTACATGTAGATACGTGCATGTTTGTGCTTGTATATGTACGACATACGTGCACATGCAAACAGGGATACATTATGGCGGAATATAGTTGATTAACTGCTGTTTATCGCGCTTGGACCGTGCGAAATGAGCAGGACACAAGGTAAGAAACCACACAGAACAACAGAAGCGCAGACTGCCAGTAAACGGCTAACAGTCTACGCTCGCGTTGTTTTGTGTGTTTTCTTGCTATGTGTGTTTTGTTCATTTGGTGCAGTTTAGGCGCGTTTAGCATGTCAGCTTACAAGGCGAAAGGTTTTGGAGAGAGCGCAATTTTTCCTCAGAGAGCCGTTTATTTTTTTTACGGCCGCACCTGTCGTTTAAATGACCCGCAAGTGGGCTCCAACTGAAAATATTTTAATGTATTTCAGAATGTTTATATAAACTGACGGTTAATATTTTAAGACTTCTTAGGTAAGTCGTATTGTAAAAGGGCAGAAATGCTTCTCTAAATTAGAAACACAGGTTTTACAGTTAGCTTGTGGCCATCCGTCTCAAGCATGAGCACGTGAATGAAATGCATTTGTATACTAACCTTAAGAAAAAAAATATCAAGGCTTGATAAAAGTGTCCCGAGAAAAATATGAACATGCTGAAAATGCTTTCACCGCTATTACCATGTGCTACATTGCTGAGTGTGAAACAATGTTCGAAGGAAATAAAACAGAAGTTAATATCTGAAAAGCCATCTGTGGATTTTTAGAGATTGATGAGCGAATTTGTTTTTGCAGACTATTCAACGCAGAACATGGGCTAGGTGGTGGGTACACAGGTTGTTTTGTAGCTTAGCAGAATTTCCGATAAAAAAATTGTGCCATTCTGTTTTTACTTGCCAATTTATTCGCCGTAAATCTATGTATACCCGTTGTTCTAGTGGTTGCGACTCCACGTTATAACTAGTCGATTACGGGCTGTGAACGCGACGAGGCTACGACTGATGACAACTGAGCCTTGAGGTTGAGGTTGAGGATGTTGTAGGTAGCCGGCGGATCTAGCCTCGCATAATTTGCAGGCGATTGCCCCGCCAAGTTCCCTCTTTGCTAATTGTAGCTAATGTCCTTTGGTTGTTTTTTAACTAAGCACGAGAAGGCTTTTAAAATAAAAATCGTGCATGGCGCGACGTAAGCCTGCATAAGACGGCGGCCTTTGTGCTACTCCACTTGCAGTATTGTGCCGGTACTCTATCTCGCTGCCCTATACCCCCAAACATAATTGTCACTTATCACCAGTCACATGCGAGGTCTGTAGTATTCAAAAAATTCAAGAGAAGTCGCGACACCTGTTTTTTTAAGATTGAGGAACCACGCGGAAACACAATATCCGTCACGCTGTCACATGGCGAGCCTTACTGTTGCAGTTCCTCAAATAAACCTTGCCGTTCCTTTTTAAGCTCACGACGTTTAAGCAAATAGTGTTCTATATCACCGTTTTCCTTGCACTTCGAGCACCAGGGCGCCGCGGAGAGTCTGATCTTGTGGAGCCATGCTGGTGTACGCGCTCATCCCGTTCGGATGCCATGAAGCAAGCAGGCCTCTTCCCTTGATAGCCCCTGTGTCACACATGGCTGGTGAGGCGTCAGCCATAACGAGTGAAAATGCTTATTGACAGCCTCTCGTAAGATACGATGATTGTCTTTGGGAGCCTTCTTCGTTGGTGTAAGCTCCAGAGCACTCCGGGCAAGTCTGTCAGCTGCCTCATTACCCGCTATACCCACATGTGATGGAATCCATTGAAACTTAATGTTTATACTAAGCCTTCCTTTTTGACAGAAGATTAGAAGTAGAAAGAATACCTGTTTGTTTCTCTTGCTTATGTTGCATTCGATACTACCATATTGCAGCTATATTTATTCCTGGAAAAGGATATTCAATAAGCCAAAAGTACAGTTACTAAAAGAAACTGTTATTTTCTTTCTTTTTTAGTCTTTTCATTGCTCGCACGTTGCACGCAGGAAGTGCAACCTCTTCTTACGTAGCTACCTGTGGATGCTGTACGAGGAAGTTAGCGCCGCTACAGTCTACGTGCTGTGAAAGAAGAAATAATCGGCTTTGCGTTCGCTGTTTCGAAGGAAAAATGTGCCCGATACCAGACTTGTATTAATGCTATTCGCAAGTGTTGTCTGCTTCGAGAAACGAGTTAGGATGAATCACGCTGGCACTCGCAATGATCTAATTTGTATTATGAATGGCTATTTGCAATAGAAAATGGGCTAGGGTGGTTGAAACACTTAGAACAGTCACGAAAATGTCAGCCGTTAAAAACGGTAACAAATTTACAGCAAATTACAAGAGAGGTGAGTGATGGAGATTTACGTAAAAATAAGAAAATTAAGTCACTGACTCAATGGTAACAAAAAAAACTTCCACAGGTGGTGCTACAGATGAGCTACAAAACTTCACGTGACAAAATTGTGACTCACACTCATTGCTGGCAAACAAAGCTTTGACGAAGTTTAATGGCCCGATTGTTCATTAATGGAAGGGTTTATAGGGAGTGTACGATTTGAATGGTTTCTTCGGAGCCATTGTTCTTTAGAAAAGCAAACAGAGAAAAAGTTGCATACTAATTGTGCTTGCAAAGAGTTCTTTGAAAATGTGCACATTGTCTATAAGTACCCGTGTCCTAGTTAGAGCTATGACGGGACAGATTTGATGCTCTCATGGTTGACGGGGACATCAACTCCGTCACCGACGACCAGCGTGTCAACTGCCGTTATGTCGTATGGTCCCTATACGTTGAATCCTACACCCAGACAGCCTATTCTGACGATGAGCACGGTAAACGTAAACGCAAATAAATGTTGGAGTTAGATCGGTATGTTATCCGATTGCGTATGTTCTAAACGACCAGTATAGCTTGTTAAGGGCTAAGATGTTCGAGGTGAAGGCCTCCTAATGAGAAGCATGGGCAGGCAAGGGTCTTTTATGCATTGCACACTCGTCATCAAGGAGGTAGGAGTTGCAGCGTCACGATCCTGTTCAGTGCTTAAATGTATCCATAGCCGCAAGGAAGATTCGTAAACAAAAAATATATATATGAGCAACATAGTTGATGTTTTATGCAGGTATGTCTGCGCCATCGCCTACGACACAAACGTCAGTGTTTTCGTTTTTTCAAAGACTGTACGTCACCGGTGACAGGATGCTTCCAGTACGTTACGCATCTCCTTTAATAGAAGAGCGTGACGCCTTAATGCGTAATTTTGTTTCTTTTTTTGTTTTTTCAATTCATGAACGAGTACGATAACGAAACAACGCAAATAAATCGACGAGAAAAATAGCGCACGCTAAAAAAATGTGAACGCTAAAGTGGCTCTTCGATTACGCTAATGCAGGGGCACGCATACAGCGGCACACACTGGTACACCCCTTGGGCATGCCGTTGCAGTTTCCTGGCGACGGGTGCATGGTGGCCTGATTGGTTCTTACGCTCTACGTTGAGTGACGGTGACGACGCTCATGTCTCTATTTTGGGGCCAACGTTGTTTGCGCTACTCACGCGACAAGTACAACGGACGCGAGAGTTCCCGTACTCTCTCTCACCAGCTCGGTCCTGGTCGCAATCTAGCACGTGGGGTCGCCACGTCCGCCTCCGGTTGGGAAGCCCTGCACCCCCCTTCCAAAACATCGGTTTCGAAGGACGTGCATTCGTGAGATCCCGTGGCGGTGGCTGAGAAGAAAGAGAATAAGAAAGCGCCTACACCATTCTCACCATCACCCACCCACTCACTCATTGCCTCATGTTTTTCCGATCGTGGTGACCCATTGATCACGGGAAGGCACCCGTGTTTTGTACCGTTGCACCCTGTTCTCTGCCACCGCTACCAAGTGACGCTGCAGGATTTCCCCTCGACCTGTTGCCGTCAACGAGCTATAGCGTGTGCTGGAAAAGTTTTAAAGCCGACCACTCGGTCGGGCTTCGTGACACTCGGTTTGGTTCAGAGACTCGAAGCGCGAGAGAGGAGTAAGAAAAACATCACTCGACATCCTGCCCTCATTTCACGTAAGTTGAAAGCGGTATGTTTTCGATGGGAGCGGCCACTTTGGTATTTCATTTGCGTTCAGGCATTACGCACGCTGTTTAAATGGGGCCACCATACACATAGACTGGCAAAAGAGTGTTAATAGAACCATTTATAATTTTATTGTGTTTGCTTCTTTCATTATCTTGTCCCGTTGTCTACGGCCTGTCATAATAGTGATATTGCGAAAGGCTTACGTTTGGCTTTTCTGAACATTATGGGTACGTACTGATGTACACCGGTTTTATTTAAAATAATCGAATATTAAGCAGAGACTTATTTACACTTGTTGCTATTATACAAAGACACTCCGTTACACTGCTTGTTTCCCACTCAACATGTTTTATTTTCGCTAAGTAGGCCATAGAGCTTCTCAATATACACTAGAGGGGACTCTGGCGCTAGTGTCTATGGGAGCTGCCACGCACGGCGCTCTAGCGAGCATGGGAATGATGAGTTGTACACACATTTGTCTAATTTTCGTACTTCTGACCTGCTTTTGGCTCCTTGTGTGTTCGTGCGGCTTGCAGCTGTTTTCTCACAAAACAAATATAAGCAAACGTTCAGCTGTTGTGCTTCACCACCTTATTCTTTTAGACTTACCTTTCCAAATCGGTTCACGAAGTTAAAAAGGGTTGAACCTTTCTTTCAGAACAAAACCGAAACTGAGCAATAAACGAAGCCGCAAGTACGATTCGCCGGCGGCGGAATCGCCGCCCGCAAGTACGAAGACTAGGCAAATGTGTGTACTACCCATCACTTCCATGGTCGCTGAACGATCACAGCGACAGAGTACCCTCTAGTTAATTTTAGGAAACTCCATGGTGTAGGCTTCCTAGCATTTTCTGTAGCAGCTGTCACATCTATGATCATGCTACAGTTGTGGAGGTATTTGCCGATAGGCAGCCACTATGGAACATGTTAAGATGTTGCTTGATATAAAGCCAACCGCGTCGGATGAACTGCTTTTGAAAGCCTGTAAACATTTTGAAAGTACAAAAGGTGCCTTAAAGTACGGTCTTGCATCACTTTAAAGGAAATCGAGTGATACATGCAGGGAACTAAAAAGGGCGTATTATGGTGACGGTGCACGCAATTCATAAACCCAGTTCAGTTTATCATTGTAATCCGTGTGTAATCCGAGATCTGCCATAGTAGAGTACCCTGTGCTCTAAATCGTTACCCCTTTTTCTAACCCCCCCCCCCCCCCCCCATCCATGGAGTGAAGGCGGGCAGCCACGGGACGGCTTTATGCTCTCCCGCAGTATACCTACTACTCTGAATCACTAACAATTTTTTTTTCTAAGCAAACGTTAGTACTTTCAATGCGAAGCATTTCTTAGCGAACTTCGACCACTGTGAGCGTATCTATCTATCTATCTATCTATCTATCTATCTATCTATCTATCTATCTATCTATCTATCTATCTATCTATCTATCTATCTATCTATCTATCTATCTATCTATCTATCTATCTATCTATCTATCTATCTATCTATCTATCTATCTATCTATCTATCTATCTATCTATCTATCTATCTATCTATCTATCTATCTATCTATCTATCTATCTATCTATCTATCTATCTATCTATCTATCTATCTATCTATCTATCTATCTATCTATCTATCTATCTATCTATCTATCTATCTTGAGCCGTCTGCGGCTTTCAGCTCTCCTGGCCGTCTCGATAATGGTATTGGTACCAAAATTAGTATGGCATAACATGACTGTATGACAAGCATAAATGACTAGTCATAGCATGCAAATCATGATATGTATGTCCTGAACGTTATGATTTATATTTCATAGTTTTGCTGCTCTTGAGGCGGTTTTATTAACATGACAGTATGCAAAACTGGTATTGTATAACATCACTGCCTAGCGAACATCAGTGACAGACCCTAACGTGAAAATCATGTTATGACTAGTCATGTCTACTTGCCATGCTCATGATACACTCGCGGCCGTTTCGCTAGTTTCACACATACCAAGTTTGGTATCATCATCATCATCATCATCATCATCATCATCATCATCACCCTGACTATGTCCACTGAAGGACAAAGGCCACTCCCATGTTCCGCCAGTTAACCCGGTCCTGTGCTTGCTGCTGCCAATTTATACCCGCAAACTTCTTAATCTCATCTGCCCACCTAACCTTCTGTCTCCCCCTAACCCGCTTCCCTTCTTTGGGAATCCAGTTAGTTACCCTTCATGACCAGCGGTTATCCTGTCTACGCGCTGCATGCCCGGCTCATGTTCATTTCCTCTTTTGTATTTCAACTATGATATCCTTAACCCCCGTTTGTCCCCTAATCTACTCTGCTCTCTTCTTGCCTCTTAAGGTTACACCTACCATTTTTCTTTCCATTGCTCGCTGCGTCGTCCTCAATTTAAGCTGAACCCTCTTTGTAAGTCTGCAGGTTTCTGCTCCGTAGCTAAGTACCGGCAAGATACAGCTGTTATATACCTTCCTCTTGAGGGATAGTGGCAATCTACCTGTCATAATTTGAGAGTGCTTGCCAAATGTGCTCCGCCCCATTCTTATTCTTCTAGTTGCTTCAATCTCGTGGTTCGGCTCTCCGGTTATTACCTGCCCTAAGTAGACATAGGCTTTTACAACTTCAAGTGCCCTATTACCTATCTAGAAGCGCTGCTCCTTTCCGAGGTTGTTGTACATTACTTTCGTTTTCTGCAGATTAATGTTAAGATCCACCTTTCTGCTCTCCTTGTCTAACTCCGTTATCATGAGTTGAAATTCGTCCCCTGAGTTACTCAGCAATGCAATGTCGTCGGCGAAGCGCAGGTTACTAAGATATTCTCCATTAAGAATTATCCCTAACTGTTCCCATTCTAGGACATGAATCAGGACATTCTAGGACATGGGTTTGGTATCAGGTGACGTGAATTTACGACTAAGGTAAATGAGCCATCCAAACATAATAATCAAAATATGTGTGTCATGTAAAACATGCCTACATGCTACGCTCATAGCATGCTCGCGGCCGTTTCGCTAGCTTATGCGAAATTCGGTATTACGTGACGTGGAGAGATGACCAAGGTAAATGACACATTGAGACATGATATTTATGGCATGGAAGTTATGTATGGAATAATTTACGTCCATCTCGTAACGTTGGGCTCGTTTTAAAGTGACATATCAACCTTCCTCATTCGTGCTTCGCATATCGTCGATCCCCACAGTTCGTAGGATCTGCCAATTTTTCTAAACCACTTGTGCCCATTTTTGAATACGAGACCTTTTCCTCTATGCATTACGAAAAGGGCTCTCACGTGTACAGCGGCGCATAGTCCTCCGTTTTTATAAACACACACTCTTGGGCCGATGTCTGTTCATTAAGACTGTATACTGCACGTTGTTTGCGCAAGCTCAGTTGCGACGTAGCCGTTCAATATAGCTAAAAGGCTATAATTTCGCCCTTGTCGCATCCAACTCCCTCAGATACTGACCCAACTACTAAAGCTTGCCTTCCCTAAATGGAGACAATTTCCTCGCAATTTAATGCTTTTGTCATTGTGATGTATATCTAAGTAAAACACGAGAGCAAACAGAAGAACAAAAATGAATTACATCCTATTAAATTGGTTTATCTTAACTTCTTCGTTAGTGGCTGTCTGGTGCTGTTCGACACCTGCATTGGGGTTTTGTACGCAATCGGGAACGTAGCACCACAAGTGCTCGGTTGGCATCTGCTTGAAAACTCCGCGCGCTCAGCAACAGAAGGCGATAATATGAGCTCTCCAAGAGCGAACGCCAAACTTCCGCCCCGACAAAAAAAGAAAAAAAAAGAGAAAATGTTACGAACGGCCTCTTCCAGTTTCTGGCCGACGTTACGCTCCACTGAGCACGACTGCATTACAACTAACGAAAAGTACGTGCGAGAACTGTCTCACGAATGCAGAAACGCGTTGCGCCTGGCGGCCAATTACATCTGAAGTACATATGTCGCACGTGGCAGCACTAAGGTGCCGAAGTGGGGCCTTCGTACGACTACATACAGCAAACGTCTACACGACAGCACCGCATTTCGTTTTTTTTCTTTAAACACGAGGTTCGTGATGTATGAAAGGATTAATGTTGTATGCTATAGACATTATATCATCTAGCTACAGATGTATAGCGTGTCACCTCATCGTGTAGCAGTCATTCGAAGGCAGAGCTCGGCTAGCTAGCTCACTCATGAGCCGGATCACCCAGTACGAGCAAGTCCCCCGAGTCTGGGTATGTCCAGTCGGGTAGAATTTCCGTAAGTTTGAGCCTGAGTTAGTTTAATTGTCTGAGAAATATTTCGGCAGGCTTGAGTTCCTGTCAGCCCATTTGAAGCACATGTTTCACGAGTCTGAGTACGCATGGGCACAGTAGAGCTTAATGTTAATGATATCGAATTCGAGTGAATTCAGAAGAATTTGAGTACAAGTAAACCTGACTGAGTATAGTTTCCAGAGGTCTAGCTGCCACTAAGTCTTGTGCAGGAATACACGTTTATGGTGAGCGTGAGTGAATTTCATTTTTCTATCATGTTTCAACAGACGCTTGAAATGTAACGCTGATTCAGGTAGGCGGCAAAGAGCACTGTGAAAAGATAAAGGAAATTTAGCGGAAGGCATCAGTGCCCTACTCAAACGTTCCGTATGTCATTCTAATAAATTCATATGTTTCCGTATGATTCCTACGGAAATACATAGAAAATAGACGAAATACATATGTACTCTATGGACTTTGTATGAGAACAAATGGAATTATTGGAATTACATAATGAAAATCTCAAAGAAAATCAATCAAAGCTGACAAGGTTTTCGAAAAGTTACTTGACAGTGAAGGCGTCGTTATTCTGTACGGTCCTTTGAGAAAATGATACGCGGCGTCTCTCATAATCATATGGTGGTTATGGGACATTAAATCCCACATATCATCAAATAAACTATACAACAAAGTGAGCAAAAAAAAAACAGTGGATTTTACTGGCAGCCCCACTTTAACATTGAGTGCGTAATTGAAGCACACCCTTAACCAAAGCTTGTTTTTCGGTGGTGCCGAGAGGATAAAAAAGACTTCATAAACGGCTTTGGTACGTGTATTAGAACACACACATCCCGTGAGTACAACTCTAGAAATACATGCAGCCATCTGGATAGGATATTTAAGTCATAAATGCTAACAAGTAAATAAAAAATAGAGAAAAAATTAGATGTAAGAGAAGTCCTGGCTTGACTATTGAAGAGGCATGTGACTAGAATAAATAATAAACCACTCGCTGCCAGATTCTAATTAAAGTGTAATAAAGCTCGTCACTGTTCTTTTTTTAGGAAGGCATCTTAGGCCCGCCCTTATAATTACCGCGACGGCCCTGGTTCCGTTCACTGCACTTCGTCTTCGACATGGAATTTGCCTGCGCGGTCGATTCAGCTGCCGTTTTCTGCAGGAATATCTACAGACCGACCCCGTAATGATACTAAACTTGGTTGTACTGCATGCTGGGCCCTTGTGCTATAACTTAAGCATGAACGGAAGCTTGTAGACAATGGTACGTATAGAAGCAGCGGCCAACAACAGTGGCGACAGTCACGCACTCCGCTTCTCTAGACCGGTCCGATTCTATCTGTGCAGACTGATATCTGAGGTATGATTCTATCAGTACTGTTCAAGGAAACACTCGCTTGGAGGGTATAAGCGGGTTTCACTCTCTTGCAAAAGAACAGTGGCTTACATTTGCGTAAATCTGCTATATAATAGTTGACGGTTCTGACTCATTTTGACCGACCAATGCCACGTACAAGGTATTCACAACCACTTCCATTATGAGCGCCAACGATACGAAATATGCCCATTCGAGTGTTCCCTTTGATTCCCTTTAAAAAAGGGATCGTGCTGTGCATGTTGGTGACGTCACTGAGTGTATTTAAAACAACCTTAAAACGTTTGCAATTTCTAGCAAGAGCATGTACAGCATGCTCTCATGTCTTCGTATGAAATTTCAGGAAGATACGACGCAACGGTTTCATTAAACATACACATATCGCAGGATGAGGACCGACTTGCTGACTTTCTTGCTTCTCGTGTTTGCCTTTGGCGCTTTGACGGACATGGCAGCAGCATACGAAGTGACCCACTTCGACATAGGTAAGTAGCAGCAAACGAAAACTCAGTATAGTAAGTTGGCCCCGTATAGATATGACAAGTTCAATCCCATCCCATTCTATTATCTCGTCATCCAGCGAACGAGTAAGAGTACTATAAAGCTTGTAATTATGAATGGTCAACTAAACCAAAGCGTTGCTGAGTGATAGCGCTTCTAGTGTAATGGGTATACGGCTAGACGGGACACCAGGCAGCCCAGAAATGTGCTGCATGCAACGATTTGTGAAAGTTGTAGCAATGAATATGATAAAGAAAAGGGTTGAGAACTTCACACTTTCTCGCTATTATAAATAATAAGCTCCTGATAGACATTGTTTCGAGACAGGGTGAATTGATCTGTGCTGACTCACCTCTTAGTTGTTTTTTTCCAACCATTATTTTGACCTGTCACGCGTCACATACGCCGTACTTCGTATGCGCCTCAATTTATTCATTCTCAATACTGACAATATCAGCTGGCCGCATGTCAGGTACACAAAAAAAAAAAGCGATTACAGCATGTTACAGCAGTTACTCGGTCAGTTACCTTTCAAACGCTGCGTTTAACGACTTCTAAGCGAACATTAATATATGATAATAAGTTGTAAGACAGAAAGAAAGAAACAAAGAAAGAAAGAAACAAAGAAAGGAAGAAAGAAAGAAAGAAGGAAAGAAAGAAAGTAAGAAAGAAAGAAAGAAAGAAAGAGAGAGAAATAGAAAGGTAGCGACATTCTGAATACGTGCTCATATAATTTTGACGTCGTAATCAATATAGAACATTAAAAGTATTCTGCATATGGAAGCTATACACTTCGTGATCATGCTTTAACTAACAATGTACAATATTCACTAGCGGTTGTCCTAGATACGCGTATCGCTGACTTTTTACCTATATTCGTCGAAGTTCCGGCAGAAATTCCTCAATTCAACTTGACCTACTTTTCCTCGAAGTTATGCCGAGATGGCTTTGTTAGCGCTATATCAGATACAGATTGGGCATCTATTATATCCATGGAAGACCCAGAACTAGTTCTTGAAAGTATTTGTTCCATATTTTTAGACGCTGTCCGTACTAACACAACTATACCGTCAAATACAGGAAACATTTTAAGTTTACACGCAATCTATAAGTAACCAACGGTCTGTTAACCAGTATGATAAAAACACTTTTGCAGAAAGACTAAAAAAACCTTTTAATGTTCATTTGATTGCTCGATATAAATCGTATTGTAATGTGATGAAAAACATTTTTAAAGAAGTTGAAACAACTATATTACGAAAATGAATTTGCAAAGCATGAGAAACAGTAGAATCTACTAGAAAATTTATGAATTTCCCGAAGACTGATGATACATGCAATGATATAAATTACGAAGGGAAATTTGTAAGCGATGCTTCTACCATAGTCAACTCTTTCATTGACTATTTATATGACATATACAATAGTTGTCAAACAGCTTCTGCGTATCGGACGACAAGATGTAATCGCTAATTTTTTTCCTATTTTCCATAACTGACGATGAAGTGTACTCTGTTTTCTTCGTTCTAAAATATACCAACGCTGGTTTATACATCATTTCTGTTTTCCAACTGAAAATTGTTGCACCTTTCGTGTCTGAGACACTTTGCCTTATAATTATTCATATTTTCAAAAGCGGCGTTTTTTTTAGTTCTCTAAAAAAGGCAACGACTATTTCAGTATATAAGAAAGATGATAAATGCGACGCGTTTTATTATAGCCATATTTATATTCTATCATCAACAAGTAAAATTGTAGAACATTTTTTTGTAAACGAATAAATGCTTATAAAGAAAGCTAAATTTGTTAAATCCCTGCAAATGGGGTTTTCGTACGGGAAGTTCGACTAGCTTCACTTTATTATCGCTAACAGACTACATTCGTCCCTCACTTGGCAATGAAAATTTTGTTGCATCTCTTTCCTTATACTTTACTAAAGCTTTTACTACCATTATTCATAACATACTTTTTATAAAATTGGAGACATTTGTCATTTCTTGTCCTGTGCTAAACTTCTTTAGAAGTTACTTTTTTAACAGATAGCAAACAGTATATACGGGTGGCATTTATTCTAATAGAGAAATTATTAACCAATGTGTACCGCAGGGATCTATACTTGGTCCTTTACTTTTTATTTATAATAATGATGTACCATCACATCTTAGCTCTTCACAGCGTGTGCTGTATGCAGATGACACTACCATTGCATTATATAATAAATATATATCCAGCATAATCTCTAAACTTAATAGTAAATTTTAACGAATTGTTGCATGGTGTCTTACAAATTATTATTCACCAACCCTAACAAAACGATATTCGTGATCATTAGAACTGTCCAAAGAATGCTACGAAGTAAACCTGATTTGGTTCGAGATGGTCATATCATCTCAGCTTTGAACTCTGCATCTTTACAAGGCATTAACCTAGATTGTAACCTTAAGTTTTATGATCATATTTCTTCCGTTAAACACAAATGTTTATGTACATTCAGCATAACAGCTCTAATAAGATCAAAGTCACATTTTTTAAAGGTGCGTTACCATCATTATATTTTGCCTTCATTCACAGTCACATCATCTACGGCAATGTCTCTTGGGGTAATACGTATCATTGCCATTTATCACCTATTAAGCACTTACAAAACCAAGCCAATCACATCATCACTAATAGCAACTTCTTTACCAAAGCGTCTCCAGTACTTCACGACCATGCCATATTACATATATCAGGCTTGTTTAACTATTATCTCACTATTATATTCTATACACCTCCTAACAAACAGCTCTCATACGAGTTTATTGATACTAGTTATCTTACTAATGAAAATAACACCAGGTTTGCACTCAACTCTTGCACTAACTTTCTCTTGCCCGTTATACCTACTAACTACGGCAAACTGAGCTCGACATCCATTGCCATAAAACTTTGGAATGTTTTACTTCTGGTTATCGAAAATTCATCATCTTCTCATCAATTCGGACAAGGAATTGAGCCTTTTTATTTAGAAATGTAAACTTATGCAATTCAGTATATCGCTACGTATATAAGTTGTCCTTTCTGATCATCACAATGCATCACTTGTGTTACAAGTATTTTGTTAGTTTTTTTCCTCAGTTTTTGTACTTTACCACTGTGTTTCAACCTATGTATATAGTTTTGTATATTACTTGTTTTTTAATTATATTTTTTACTGCTGTTCACATGCTCACAATTTTTCTTTCCTTTTTAGACTTCTTGTTAACTATTCTTACCGAGGGTCACGCTGCAGTCTGCGACTTTGGGACCCTCGTCTGTATATATTATCTGTAATAAAATTTAATTGTGTAGGAATAATGAATGACGAACTGACTAAAGCTAGTGCGGCCAATTATGGTTTATGAGGGCACAACATAGTTATATCTGCACGCTGCGACACCAATGCCTATCAAGGGCACCAATAATGTCACCTTAAATTTCGTCCTCCCCAAATGTAGTTAGTTCGCCTTGTAGTGACAAAAAATGCATAAATACGAAAATACGTTTGATAATAATGTTATTGAAATGTACTATAACATTTTATAATAAGTTATAACACACCAGTCCTCGCTTGTAAACTGTTTGTGCAGTATACTGATATCGCTACATTATTGAAAGTGAGTGCGAGTGTGCACAAATGAAATTCTAGAGAATCCCATATTTTGTCGTGTTGCTGAGACTAAGCTTCAATGAACCCTACGTGATCTGAACGTCTGCGCGTTTCAATGCTTTTTCTCTAACGTTCTTTCATGTATATCGTATAGAATTTCGCTGCACAGTCTCTCTTCAGCCTATGGCCTTAAATAGAGCCGTGGAGGTGGCTGACAGGCGTGGCTCGATAGACTAACTCTCCTTGTGGACAACTTTAGGGTCAATAAATGTTTCTCACCAGTCATCGCCATCCTGCTTATGCATCTGTTCTTTTGAAAGAATGCGCTGCCACGTTAAAGACCGGGATCACACCTCATGTCTAACTTCTGCCCCGCCGCGGAGGTCTAGTGGCTAAGGTACTCGGCTGCTGTCCCGCAGGGTGCGGGTTCGAATCCCGGCTGCGGCGGCTGCATTTCCGATGGAGGCGGAAATGTTGTAGGCCCGTGTGCTCAGATTTGGGTGCACGTTAAAGAACCCCAGGTGGTCTAAATTTCCGGAGCCCTCCACTACGGCGTCTCTCATAATCATATAGTGGTTTTGGGACGTTAAACCCCACATACCAACCTAACTTTACAGCACACACATATTATTAGACGAACGTACGTGCGCGCGTATACGCGAACAGAATATGGGGACATATGTATGTAAGCGCCATCTTTCCACGCGGGGACAGCAGCGGCTTGCCGTAACTGAATACTAAATAGGCGAAAAAATTATCACCACCCCAGGATTCCGTACAAATGGTTAACCAGCGAAACTTGAAACACGGGGCCCGGTGTTCAGCAGAGGGTTCAACCCGACGCTGTACAGAAAACTTTGTACAATTATTGGTTACAGGTTCGTGCTTCTTAATAAGATTGAACCCCTCTTCCGCTACGGTTTACCAAAGTGTTTATTTCACATGCCGCACATTGTGTCTCGCTTGATCACGGTCATAGAAGAATTTAATGAGTGGTTAAATGCGCCTCGCAGTGCGTTTCTCACAGTGGCTTTCCTCGAACAACAGGCGGTCACAGACATCGCAGCTAAAGTGAATGTGCCGCTGGAGAAATTCCCGCCGAAAGCAGGCGTTCGCCAAAGCGAACGCACTGCCGCAATCGTCACGTTGACGCTGTCGTGCCCGCAACAATGCTTTTTCTACGTGGCAATGTTGCAATTGTTTGACATCGCAAGTAAACTCGGCGGCGTGGTTTGCAGCATCTGCCCACCGCTGACGCTTGCATTGCCGTTGGCAATTAAGCGCTGCTTGGAAGGCTGCCGTATCACCGGTTTCTGTCGGCCCTCGACCTTCCGGGCCTGTTTTTGGACTCGTACTGCACCATCGGACCGGATGATTTGTGCTCATGTTTCCCACTGCCGGCGCTCTTCAGGAGTTGTCCGTGGCTTACCCATGTGGGAGGTCCCAGTATCGAAACGGATGCGCGTGTGTTTGGCACCCCGGCTGCTGACGTGATGGACAAGTCACTCACATCGCAGCCAATGGCGTGGTTGCTTGAGTAAGACACTGAAAACGATGTAACTGATAGTACAGCCAATGAAGACCGCTCGTGACACCAATAGTGAACAGTTTTTTGTGTCTCTTAGTCAATACAGCTTCCGCTATAAAAATTATATTTGACAAAAAACTAATTATCATAAAGAACTTTGGGTTCTACACAACAGAAACTTAATTGAAATGACCATTCTGGTAAAGTTACAGTGTCGCCCTGCAAACCACTTAGTTTTCCAAACTGTATTATTTTACAAAAGGGCCCCATCTATTTCAAATGGGCGATGTTCAATTGTCTTGGGAACCCATAAACTTTGTGGTGCGATACCGAAATTTCTCCTAACTGTTACAGTACGTCTCTGCTGTATAGATCCGGACAGCCGTTTTTGATAACTAGCACATTTCAGAAGATATGACTTTTTCGCCTTTGTCCTATTCACTTATGGCAGGATGCCCCTGCTGCCGCCAAGAGATGGCGCCAGGTACAGATCTCCCTCCTCCCTCCCCCTAATACTGGAAATTTGGACTCGAAAGGTTGCAGAGGTGCAATGAGTAAACACTTTCGCATTACTTCGTGCAGGTCTTGGATGCCCGAATTCATTGCTGACTTGTTCCCAAGAATGCCGAAGTACTTACGGTCATAGAGGAGGATACTGCAATGGGCCGTTCAACATTGTCTGTACCTGCACCTAACCAGACATCAAAAGGGACTTGCGACGCGGCCACTACGTCGCTATTCGTGATCATCACAATCAAGTCACAAGTCGAATGATCATCAGACGAATGGTGATTGCGTCACTATTCGTGTTCAGAGTCTTTTTAAGGGTCACTGACTGATGTGCTAATTGACGTGGTATATAGCTAAGCATTGTACCATAAAAATGGTCTATTTCATTACACTACCTCAATGTTATTTATGGACGTTAATTTATCCTATGTCAGGAATAAAGGTTCTTTGTTACAGGTAGGTTTCTCATCTAGTGAACCCCAACTGATGTTTCTAGCTAGACGCGCTTTTGATGTGGTTGTATGCAATATGTGTGGATATGTGGAAGTGATTATACTTCGCGTGTACCATTAGTTCTTTCTTTTATCTCTTTTTATTCTTTCTTTAAATCTTGTCCTTGTGCTTCTCAATGAACACAAACATTTTCGGCTACTTTTTATTGTTTTTCGGAGCCGTGGAATTCATGCGAAACCTATTGTTCTTTTTTTTTCTTTGGGGAGAGGGTATTGCCATGCTGTGTTGGTAGCAGAAGAAGAGAGCGAACAAGTGATTGGGTGCAATGGCTGAGTAAACAGTCGTTTGCTTCGAGTACCGGTTTGTCGTTTCCTCTTGCGACAATAGTATTAGCCATGAATTGCTATGGCTGGAGTACTACAACATTTTGTCACTGTCGTGTACAGTTTAGTTTTTGCAATGTTTATTTAAATAAGTAGGACTGAAGGGTTTTAAAGCATCTGGCACTGCAACATCATGTGAAAACAATGTGTTACTCAAAAAATTAAGTTTATGTTTATAAACAGCGCATATTAAACATCATGCGAGACTTGAATTATTTGTCGGGCCACTGTGTGACTTTAAATCATAGTTGAAGACATCAATAGACGAACGGAATTCCTCATGTACATTGTTTACTCTCAGAAAAACTTCAACGTTACAATGACGCGAAGTGTTACGTTAGGGAAGCCTCGCTTTTTAAAAAAAATGTAAGAATAGCTTCAAGTTCGAGCACATGGGCGCACGTCTGACGTTGTCATCAATATATTTGAAATAAAGGCTCTAGCAAAAAAAAATGATGGGTTTTTCAAGCTCAAAAGTGTGTATCTACATTTTCGAACCAGCAAAAATGGTCGAATAATATTACAGCTCATTTCAGAAGAGAGATAAAATTAGAGGAATTCATAGACATTTCTGACTCTGATAAAACGATTATATGAAGCAGAAGTAGGAGCAATCACCTTATGCAAAAAAAAAAAAAAACATCCGATACCTAATAAAAAGAACCCATCTATCTAATTCCTCTAAAGCCTTTCCCGAGAGTTGGTACATCACGCACCGTGCTTGTGGGGTTGTTGCGGCGTGCAACTCTCACACACTGGTGCACCGCACAACACTGCACCACATGACAGAACACATTGACATTGCGCAACACCACATAAAAACATAACACTGCACCACAAACAAGTACACACACTCAGGACTCAGGTGGGCAAAAAGAGAGAGAGAATAGTGAGAAGGACAGACGTGAGATTACAACGTGAGTATTTTTAAAGTTTAATTACGGCAACATGATTGTAGTTGTAGTGGTCCGACATGAACTGCCGTTAAAGCCGGTACCCCTTTGCTACGGACGTGGAGTCCAGTGTTGGAGAATACGCAACTTCGTTCTCGAAACACATCTGCATTTTCCCATCTTCCGCTCGGTTTCCATTCATGTTCGAGCCCTTGCAATCGCTCCGTTCGGGTCGGCGACGCCGAAAGAGCAACGCTTCCAAGTTGGCAGTGGGACCTTCGCACGCGACGAACATTAGGTAGCTCAGGATGTAGCTCCAGATTAGCACAGCGAAGCATGACGACACCTGAAGGAGGTAGGGATGAAACAAATAGAAAAAAAATGAACGTGGCAGATTCTTCTGTCTGGGAATCGTTATAGAACGAATGTGAAACGTTTCTTCACAGAGGCAGTTGAGCATTTGTTGGGCAGTGCGTACCCACAAGAGCGAAGGAAGCAATGCTCCAGCAACAAGTGCTCACGTCATGTGAAGAACAGCAGGCAGCTCAAACACAAACACGCACGAAATGAGCATACACATAACCAGCACTGACTAACAACTGTCACCGCTCGACTCTTACTTCTTCGTGTGTGAGCAGCGCACTCCTCTCGCAAACGTGGCTGCGAAAGCTAGTGAACTTAACTTTTGTGCTCTCTTTAACCACTGTAACTTCGAAGCAATCTTACGTTGCAAGCACAAGACGCTCAAGGCGCGCGAATCATGACGCATGTACACGCACGATCACCCCACGTCCTGTGCCGGCTCGCGCGCGCATCGCCCAACGCGCGCACGTCCCGCCATCTCGTTACTGAAGACAGAAACGTGCTGAAGTTGCTGAGCTCTGCGCACAACCAACGGTTTGTGGCGTGTATAAATAGCTCGCTGTTAGCAAGCTCTGCGACGTAAGTATTGTGGTCTAGAGGTTTCGAGTCGGGTGCTGCGTAAATACGTCGGCGGAGGCATGGTGGAGCCCTGCATGAAACACTTTCGTGTTTCGAAAGAACGCGATAAAGCTGATCGCAGTATTCCTCGCGGGCGGTCGTTCGATGTCTCCACAGACTATTTTCTCTTACGTAGACAGTTACGTCACAATGTACTTTGATAGATTTATTTGGATTGTTGTTGGAAGGGCTGCTTTTAGGGCCGGGTTTATTAATATAGTAAGCTGAGCTAGTTGATAGGTGTTTGTGATGAAATTTCGTAAAGCACTCACGAAGTGAGTGCTTTACGAAAAAAAGGATGAATTTTAAATTTTTTATACTAGCGAATTGTGTGCTAGTCTTGTGTTCTCCAAATGACAGTGATTATGGTGATAGCTCTATTTTTTAGTCTTCCCCTTGCTTTTCAAGATATATGCATAAGCTTTGTACGAGATTCCACGATGAATAACTATGGCCAGGCGAGACACCCCGTCCATGACGAAGAAGCCAGCATATCTGCGGAGAATAAGTTTAACCTTACGAGGAAATAGAAATAAGTGAACAAGTATTGCCATATTCTTAAGTGCAATATTCGTCTGTCGTACAGAGCAGCCCTTTGCCACCGCAGCGAAGAATAATAGTGGGTCTTACGCTTGGTCTGGTGACATAATGCCTGCAATATCCAAATAACTTGGGTTCAATAAAATAAATATGTATACAAAGTAAATCAGGTATAATATATAGAGGTCTACATATCGTGCAAAACAAGGATGATATTTGTATTCCTTATTAAAATGTGTGCTTGAAAATGGAACTTTCGATCACATAGGTGGAAAACATATTAATCAGGGTGTAACTAGGCACATCAATATATTGAACTAAGAAATAAGTCAATAGCACATCGCTAGAAAAAGCTGCAAGCTCGAAGTGAAATAATTCGGCATCGCTATTCAGGTATTTCGATAATGCATAACGAAATAACAGTAGCGTGAAGAGGAAATCAACGGGAAAAAAAACAAGGCAGGATAAGGCGCCAGTTTCAAGCGTTAACTTTTTGCACATCATTGAAATATATCCGTTTTTCGAAAGTGCACAACACAGGTAGGATGCAACACATGCAAACTATCTGACAGCATTATCTAAAATCAAACATTCACTCTTTTGGAGACACATGGTAAACAAATCGGAAAGCCCTTCACAAGAGTTAAGGATAAGCTCCGTATGTCATTAGGGTAGATGCCACTTGTACAGCGCAGGAAGCTGTAGCAGTTGCCGAGAATCCTACTCTACCTCATCCCCTGATTCACTGCTTCCCTTCAGGCTCTACAGCTGAAGAGGCAGAGGAGACCGCCATAGCCCTAGCCCTCACACAATCCAATTCACAGTACGTATTCACTGATTATTTTTTTCTGCTCTGTAAGTCTATGCCACAGGCACGCCACACGCCCCCCTGCCTGGCAGTTGTTGAACATCGCACAGAAATTTTACCACGTATGTTACACCTCCCTTGAGTACAGGCTCATTAAGGAAACCCCGGAAAGCGGCTGCCGATAAATTGGCCCGAGGTTTGATCTGCAGGGCTCAGGACAGCGTCGATTCGGGCTTATCGAATGAGTGGGCATACACTTTTGCAGAGCATCTGCAAATACCCTGTTTGAACCATCGGACTCATCCTGCTCCAAATATCTTTCTTGCGCACTTCCAACAAATCTTATGGAGACTTATCCAGACCTGCACTCCTTATTCCCCCCAGTTTATGTCCCACTGCCGTGGCAGTTCCCCTGATGTTTTCCTCTGCTGCGAACCTCACGCCACCATTTCCCATATCCTGTCCGGCTGCCTCAAGCTAGGGGGATTTGGAGGTCCTGCTCTCGTCAGAGGACCCAGCGTTCGAGCTTGCTGCGGTGACTCGGATTGCAGATTTCATCGCGGTCAGAGGCATGGCCGTGTTAACGTGGTGTAGGACCACGTGGTGGTTATCTACTATCATCTATCTATCTATCTTCTATCTATCTATCTATATCTACCTATCTATCTATCTATCATCTATCTAATCTATCTCTATCTATCTATCTATCTATCTATCTGTCTGTCTGTCTGTCTGTCTGTCTGTCTGTCTGTCTGGTCTGTCTGTCTGTCTGTCTTCTGTCTGTCTGTCTGTCTGTCTGTCTATCTATCTATCTATCTATCTATCTATCTATCTATCTTCTATCTGTCTGTCTGGTCCTGGCTGTCTGTCTGGTCTGTCTGTCTATCTATCTATCTATCTATCTATCTATCTATCTATCTATCTATCTATCTATCTATCTATCTATCTATCTATCTATCTATCTATCTATCTATCTATCTATCTATCTATCTATCTAATCTATCTATCTATCTATCTATCTATCGAGCCGCTTACGTCTGGGTGCTTTCTTCGTCATCCGTCCGTTAACTTGGCGTGAACCAAAGTTAGTATGGGATGGTAAGATGGTTGGACGAATATGAAGCGCTGGTCAAGACATGAATAATGTCACAGTGCCACTGGTATGCGAGTGTGCGCCACAGGTGATCGACACCTAGTATCTACTTAGGAATGGTAGAACACACGTGGGTAATTTTAACGCGTGAGCGTTAAGAAAAAGCTGACATAAGCAGCCTTTAATCGACGAAAGGCAATTATAGGTGCCACGATCCCAGCAAAAATCAAACTCCAGCATTCCGCATGTGCGTGACAATTGTTCTACCACATATCCATGCCAGGTCTCAGAACTACTTTTCAAACAGACCCTAATGTTAGTGAAGCGTAAATTATGGTTGCATGGTTGGCTATCTAATTTTATAAGCATTACATATTGTTACGAGTAACTTATTTCTAAAGCTATATGCGATGCAGAGAGCTCGGCGAACAAGATCGCACTAGACTCCACTAAGAACATGATGATGGAAAACTACGCCTTTCTAGTTCGTTTCCCTAGCGTGCAGTCAAAAGTGACCACGGTCGAAAGTTGGGGGCTCAGCCTCCCCAAACGTTTCACAAAGGGGGGGGGGGGGAGCGCCCCTTTGCCCCACCGGCTGATACGCCTATGGTCGTCGTCTTTCTCTTTCATACAGCAAGGCTGCAGCTGTTCTGTATCGTAACCCCCCGGCGGTAGAAGCACCGTCACGGTGTTTGAGCTACTTGCATGCGGTAGAAGGAGGGTGATAATGCTTCAGTCGAGCTTTGTACACGGTGTCACTAGAAGCTGATGATGATGACGTGGGATCGGCTGGTACGATCTCATATGTAACGTCCGTCACCTGGCGAAGGATGCGGTATGGTCCAGTGTAGTGTCACAGCAGTTTTTCAGAAAGACCTACATGCCGAGTGGAGAACCAGAGATGGACAAGGGAACCCGGTGAAAAGTGCACGTTTCTATTATGGGAATCGTAGAGCTGTCTTTGGTGCTCCTGTGAGGCCTGAAGACGGCTGTGGGTGAGTTGGCGTGCGTGGTCAGCTAGCGCGATGGCTTCGCCGGCATATTCAGTGACCGAGGGCGGTGAAGTGTCAAAGTGTAGGGCGGGCTCCCGGCCGTATAAAAGATTGAATGGCGAATAGCCGGCAGTGTCGTGACGCCACGACTTATATGCAAACGTGACATATGGCAAATGAACGTCCCAGTCCTCATGGTCAGCCGCTACGTATTTAGAAAGCATGTCGGTTATGATCCGGATGAGCAGCTCCGTTAGACCGTTCGTTTGCGGATGGTACGAAGTGTCAAACTTGTGCTTAGCAGAGCAAGAGTGCAAGATTTCATCAACCACAGCTGAGAGGAAAGTCCGGCCTCGGTCAATGAGGGGTTGGCGTAGAACTCCATATACTAAAACAATATCGTATACCAGAAAGTCCGCCACATCGGTAGCGCAACTCGTTGGAAGTGCTCGTGTGACAGAGTACCGTGTCGCATATTCAGTGGCGAAAACAATCCATTTGTTGCGCAAGCTAGAGATCGGGAATAGGCCAAGCAGGTCGAGGCTAACTAGAAAAAAAAGGTTTAGTGGGAATGTCCCTACCAGCTGAAAGAATACAGCTGGTGTGGAAGATGGCTTTTTGCGGCGCTGGCAGAGCTCGCAAGCGGCGACGTAGCGTCGAACAAAACGGGCAAGACCATGGCAGGCCAAAAGAAACGACGACGTACACTGTCGTATGTGCGAGAAACGCCCAAGTGGCCCATCAAAGAAGCGTCATGAAGTTGGTTGAGGACAGTCGCACGAAGATGTGCTGGTATGACACGGAGCAAGTCATGTCCATATGGATCGAGGTTACGGCAATACAGTAACCCGTATTTGACCAGGAGCATTTGTACAGATGCGTCGTGAGGCATTGACTCATGCTTGTCAATGATGTCTCACAGAGAAACATCC